GGGGGGCTCCCCCGGGGGGGGGTGGGAGAGCCCCCTCTTGGTGGGGGGCTCCCCCGGGGGGGGGTGGTAGGGGGCCCTACTCCTGGTGAAGGGGTCTCTTCCCTTGGTGGGGGGGGGTGGTAGGGGGCCCTACTCCTGGTGAAGGGGTCTCTTCCCTTGGTGCTGGACTGGCTCCTATGTGGTGATGGCTGCTTTGTGGTAGTGCTCCTGGGCTGGAAAGAGGAAGCTTATTTCTGAGCTAAAGTAAACTCTCTTAGAGTCAACTGTTACTGAAGAAGTTGCTTGTTCTGTGCTGTAATTGACTGCGCCCTGGAGGTTTGGGTAAGTGGCTGGAGGTGACACTTACCTGTGGTGTGTGGGAGTAAACCAGCTATAGCATACACAGCATGTATACAATATCAATAGCCTAAGTAGACTGAGGCTGTCAGGAAGGAGGGAAGCCACTGCTCTGCTCTCTGAGACTTTTGCAAGCTATTCTTGGAGAAAAAATTCTTTTCTCTTAAAAAAAAATAAATGGGAAATGCTTATTAAATCCCCTTGTGAAAGGTCTCAGTTCTATGTTTATCCACACAATATACTTCTATTTTTATAATGTGTAATATTTAAGAGCATGCCTCAGAAAATGTGCTGAATTGAGTTGGTGGGCAGGCAACTTGAAACTTAGAAATTTGTAGCTCTTTTAACAGTGGAAAAACTGTCTCCTGTTTGAAAGGTATCTTTCACTTTTATCTTGCTGGAGCAAAGCTGCATAGGGGAACTTCTACATTTAACTCTATTCTCCTTTCAAGGCATTCCCCCAAAATACTGGTAACAGTTTGCTTCTACCAGGTGGGACTACCACGTGGAAAGTGGGTGATAGGATCTTATAGAAGAAGCTTGTGACAGCTTTTTGTAAAGCCAGTTTCTATTGCAGGTAGAAAGGCTGTGTTATGTGTGGGAATTGGAATGCCTAAGAATATCTCCATTAAAATGAAAAGGCTAGTAAGCTAAAGCTTTCTGTGGTGAAGTGGATACCTGTCTGTCTCCAACTTAAAGCAAAAAATCCTTACTTACCACAGACAAAGGATGCACCTGCTATTTCTGTGCTTGGACTTATTCCCTGGCTGATGCCATTAGCTGAATATCTTGAGGGATGAGGAAGGGGAGAAAAATGACCCCTTTTGCAGTTGATTTAGCATTGCATGTTCTGCTTTAAAAAAAAAAAGGCATGTCAATAACATGTTTGTAAATCATCTACTTCAATGGTCCAATACCTCAGACTTGCTTTACTCACCATGTGAAATCACTGAGTATGTTTCTGATGTTTGCAGCTGAATTCCTGCATGGCTGTCTTTCTTGAATGTGGTAGAACTTCCCCAGATCTGAAGATGGGTGTGCTATCCTGAGAGGAGTGGCATCGACTGTCTTGCAACAAACTTCTGGCCTCCTTTTCCAAGATGAGTCTGCTGAGAATTGTCTGGTTTCTGGCTAGGTAACTCAGGAGCATGCATCTCAGTGAAACCATTTGCACTGAATCTCAGTGAGCGAGTTCCTGGAAGCCTTCCTCCCAAACTGAGACTGAACTCCAGCTAAAATGACAGTAATATGTTGTACTCTGCTTTTGTCTTTACCAAAAGACATGGAACTTCACTAGGGTGGTGTCTTTGTGTTAATTGTTTGCATGTGGTATATTAGATCTTTATGTGGGAGTTTGCAGTTATTAACTTTGCTTTTAATTAATGATCCAGTTCTCCTGTTGTATTTTAACCACAGCCCAGATGTGCAGGATAGAAAATGCAGCAACTTACTGATGATACTACTCTCTGCCTGACTTCAACAGCATCTCAGCATGTTATTAGGTTGACTATTCATGCAAGCAGGTATCACTAGGAGCAACAGGTTAGTTGCCTGCAGGTAACAGGCTATAGCTCTTTTCCAGAGGGTTGTCTAAAATGTATATTAGTGAGATGAGAGGAAAAGTTTAACAAATACACAAACTCAGTGAAATGTCTGTTGTGTGCAAAGTAAGAATGCAGCCTAGGTTGGAAGGGACCTATGACTTGTAGCTGTGTGTGAGCTTTTAATACATCTCCAAAGGCTGTGTCCGAATGCTTCTCCAAGTCCATCAGCCTGGGCCTGTGACTGCTGCCCTGTGGAGTTTGTTCTGGTACCTAATTACCCTCTGGTGAAGGAACTTGTCATGTTTTTCAGTGTGGCTTAATATACATCCAAGTTCCTTGCCCTGGCCAGTTGCAGAAAAACTGAAGAGAACTTGCCCTGAAATGAAGCTCTGTGGACTCTGACTCTCACGAGGAAGGGCATTTCCTGACATGGCTTGGTTTTTGGTCCTGCTTTCCTGACAAGGATTTTTCATACCTATTCAAATGGATGATTTGTACCTTGAACTAGACTGGAGGGGAAGACATCTTGCTTTAGTAACCCAGACTTTCTCTTAAGCAGGAGGATGTCACTGGAACACACAGGAACAGCTTAAAAACAGAAGATTGATTCAGTAACTGTTCTATCTGCCTTGATTGAAGTTGATGATGCATCTGCAGTAGTGGAATGTAAAAAGAATGGTTTTCAATCAGTATAAAGTGTATAGCTAGAAGTAAAGATTTTTCACTCTCTGAAGTTGGGTCATTTCACTATTCACATTTTCTGTCTGGTGCCAGGATGAGTGTGTGCTTTCTATCATTAATAACCTGAATGGCTGGACAAGAAGTACCATTTGCAGCAATAAAGCCTAAAAGCAGCTAAAAAAACCCTTTCATTGATTCATATTGTATTTCTTAGGGGAGCACAGTCAGAACAGAGCTTCCAGCATGTACAAGTCATAATGTATCTTTCCTTTAAAACAACAGTATGAACTTCCTTTAAATGTCTCTTTAGCTGGAGGCCTGGGCTGCACAAGTGTGTTCTTCCATCAGGGTTGGGATGAAAGCTCTTGCTTTTTTTTATGACATCATAAATAAAAGCCCTAATCCTTAATTCACATGAGCATTTGACCATGAGCAGTTCCCAAAATCTGACCTTTGTTCTTTCACTGTTTGTATTGAATACTGATCCCTAGTTGCATAGCCCAGGAGGAAGCTCTAACCTTTACCCACTTCTACCCTCTCCTGCAGAAATTATGGCTGTAGTTATTTCCTTTCTGCAACAATATGGGTTACTGTGCTGAGAAGATAAATCCCTTTCCCTAAACCTACATGCTTGATGACAAACTATGGGGACTTCTTTCTAAGAAGAAAGAAATAAAAATAAACCAAACAGGGATATGAGGAGGTGTTTTAAACTTGATGTGATTTAGCTGTTCTCAGGGGTTCATAAATTCTTATGTACTTGACACAACAAAAAACATAGAAGCAGGAAAACTAAGGAAAGGGGAAGGTTTCAGATATCATTTTGTAAATCTTATTGCTTACAGCATGAGCTCTTTAGACATGCTGGCCATGGAGAAGTCAGGCAGAATCATTTATCCTTCTAAATATATTTCCTTAGACATAAGACCCCACAAACTTCACAAGCCTAGCAAAAGCACACAAGAACAGGTCCAACAAACTCCAAGGAAGAAAAGTGAGCTTACCTGTTGGTACTGCCAGTGAAGAGAACTGTGGAGATTGTTGGGCTGATGCCCTTTTGTTTTTAATAATTGTCAGCTAAAGTAGGATGATCAAACAAAAGTACAGCTGTAAAGTCATCCTCTGACTCACTGAACCCTCTTCTCCATTACTTATGCTGAGATAAGAGGCCAAATCTGAGGTTTTACTTAGAAAAGCCACAAGAATAATTTGCTCAGTTCCAAGACAGAACAATTATCTAGCTCTTAGAAGAAATTTAATTGCCATCCTCAAGAAATAACTGGCTTCCAATCCATTTGATTCCCAGATGTAAGTTTGCAATGGCAATTTTTTTCCCCTCCACTTCAGAGTATTTCACTTACTTACATTTCTAAGAAAACAATTATTTAGAAAATACCCTTTTTGGCAACTGAAATCATTGACTTCACATTATGTTCTCTGCTCAGAGAAGCCTTAGTTCTATTTACCCTACAGAAGGTGCACAGAATTAAGAAGGCCCACCTGCATAAACAGTCAAGAATTTCAGTAGCTTTGAGAAAGGTGAATTTGCCTTTAAGAGTTTTCAGGGATCACAGGACTAAGCTTGTTCTCCCTTTCCATGGGATTTGCTTAGAGTTGGACCGACCTCCACCCACAACATTGAATTTTACAGAGAGAGTGGTGAGGTACTGGAACAGGCTGCCCAGAGAGGTTGTGGATGCCCCATCCCTGAAAGTGTTCAAGGCCAGATTGGATGGGGCCCTGGGCAGTTTGGTCTAGCATTAGGTGGGATGGTTGGTGGCCCTGCATGTGGCAGGGGGGTTGGAGATTCATGATCCTTGAGGTCCCTTCCAACCCCAGCAATTCTGTGATTGTGAATAAAACTCTGTGCTCAGGTCA